TTCTTTTTGTATGTGCTAAGTCCTCTTTTAGGCTTTAGTGAGATTCTTTTTGTTTAGAAATCATTTTCTATTTCACTTTAAAATCTTTAAGGTCAAAGAGTTTCATAAAACCTAAAAATCTCAACCTAACCTAGTTCAACCCAGCTCTTAGGTAACACATTCAAGGTTTGTATCCAAAGAAATGTAAGATGTAGTCTTCAGGGATTTTTTTCAGTGATGCACATCAGTAATCAATCAGTGCTAACTGCTTTTGGTCTTCCAAAGAAAGAGTGAGCACTTCCAACCAAAGTGGTCAAGGAAAGCTTCATTGTAGACATAGAGTTTAAGCAAAACTCTGAGGCCCAGAGAAGCATGAATATGAAGCCTTGAAAATTGACTAACATTTGTTATAGGTAAAGAAATGACTTAATCAAAAGAATAAAGGATAATGAGGCATGCTTAGGAACCTGTGATAGAAACACACAGAGGCTGGATAAGTGAGTTAGGGCTGGATGGTAGAGGGTTTGAATCTGGCTTTTATCGCTATGTTAGACAATGTTATAATTCTTTGAGTATGGAAGTGGTCTCAGAAAGTGCTACTGTATGAGAATCAATCTGAAATAGATGTGAGGAAGGTTAGTGAAGAAAAAACTAGAGACAAAGAAACTATTTTTTAGCTGTATTAGTATTCCAGATGAAAGGTGGTAAGTTAATGATGCTGATGAGCTAGTGTCGTGTCACAGAAAGAGAAAGGAGGGGAAGAAAAAGAAAGAGAGCTGTGATAAAGGTAAAGCCTTCGATCTCATTAAATAGAGAGATAAATAATTTTAAGTCAAGATGGTGTCATTAAAAACTTTGTGACTTAAACCAGACTTGAAACTCCTAGAGGGCAGAGACTATGTGAGTCTCATTCATTCATTGTTTTATTCCCAACATCTAGCTCAGTACCTTGCACATAAATATTTGATGAATGGATGAATGTACTTAGAAGAAAGTTCTATTTCTTAGAAGAAATATGGAGAAAGTTGGGAGGGAGTGGGTTTGCTTCATATCATGTATGTTTCTGGTGATAGAAACTTACCCCAGTGTAGGTGTCCAGTAGGTGGCCAAAAACCCAAAGCTAGATTCTCAAGAGAGCTCAACTGTTCATAGGATCTAGGAGTTATCCATGGAGAAGAAAGAGTTGAGACAGTAGAAATGGATAAAGTTAGAAAAAGGTAGGAGAAAACAGGAGGAAGATGAGGAAGAATCAGTGAGGGAAATTGAAAAGGTGATCAGAAATGGAGCAGGAAAACCTAAAGAGAATGGTATCAAAGAAGAAAGATTGAAATATACACATAAAAGCAACTAGGGGAAATGATGGTGAAGTCAGAAGTACACTAGTGATACTCATTTCTTCTACCTTGCTTTCAACTCTGTCCACAAGCTTTGTTTCAATGATTATTATAAAAATTCCCACTTCTAGATGTTTTTCAGAAAAAAAGTGGGTATGTTACTATACTGTATATTTTGCAAAGGTAGGGATTATGACTTTTCTATTCATTTTCTTCACCTAACCAGTTACAGTCTCATCAAAAGCATGTAATATGTATTTGTGCTCACTGAATAGATTTATTTTTATAGTATCTAGTTGTATGAAAATCAACCTCGTCATAACTTTCAGCAGCCAGAATTATACCAAACAAGCAAGCAAAAGCCCTTTACTACTGGTTAATTTTAGTTGCAATAGGGAAAAAATTGCTGAGAAGATCTGAAAATCACATCTATGCATGTGATCAGTTAGTTTGGCAATCAAAAGGAGAAAGCTAGGAAATGAGAGAAATTTGCAAGGAAGGGAGAAGGAGAAAAATGTATAGCAAAGCTATCAGGATATTGCAAAATTAAGAGCTTTTAGCAGCAAAGATGAAGGGAATCACAGCAAAAGGAGACCAGAGTTCTGTAAGAATAGACCTTTCACAGGTTATTTGAAGATCACCATGACTCAGAGCCAGCCCAGCACTATGCCTTCAGAGAAGGTACTAACGGCCCTCTCTATTAAAGCATAATATATTAATTGGCATTTATACTGATCATACCACATTATCAATTAAATCCAGGAACTTATGTTCATTCAGTGCATTCATGGATTTCAGAAAGGTTAATTCTATGAAAGTTAAATTTCAGTTTTCTGAAAAATTAAGTAGAGCATCTCATTACCTCCAAACACCAAATAAACTGGTGTTTCTATTTTAGTAATTACATTCTTGTATTTTGCTAGAAAATGTATATGCTTCTGCCTATAAAAAGAATTATGATCTGAAATATATCACAGCCACATAGCCTCAGAGATAGAAGAGAAGATACAGAACACCAAACACCATAGGGGAAGGAGCACCGGCTTTTGTAGTCAGTCAGGTCTGAGTTCTGATGCCAGCTCTACTACTTACCTGCTGGGGTGCTGAGTGCTTCCATCTTTGAACCTCAGTTTCCTCACTTATGAAATAGGAATACCTTGCATTGTAGATTAGAGTTTATATTAGTGAAGGGCCTGTATGTGTTAAGTACTTCAAAATGGCATCCTTACAAAGAAACAACCTGATACAAAGAGGAAAAGGTGAGTATAAATGTGTATACACGTGCACACACACACATTATTTGTGATTTTTATTTTGTGAACTGTGAAATAATTTCCTAAAATTGTGTCAAGGGAAAAAATGTGACCATCATATTTACCAAATAATCACCTCAATTTGGTTTCTCTTGTTCTAGCTTCATTTTAGGATCTTAGATTACACACTCACTGGATGTTATGCAGATCAGCATTCAGTTCAAGTTTTTGCATCAGGAAAACCAAAAATAAGTACATGTAAGTTGTGCAGATTCCAACTAACTTGAGGGAATTAACATGATGTTATGTTAAGAGAAAGTTAACATGTAACAGAAAAAGATCAGAGAATAATTCCAATTTCTAAAAATTCTGGCCTCATCCCATCCTGTTAACAGTGTGTGTACTTTACATTGCCCTCTGTCTTCTCCTGTTAATAAAATGGTCTGGATGAGCGAGGATTGATATAGAGGTGCGCTCTAGTCTAAAGTTGGATTTGCTTTGCTCTGCTTACCATATACTCTCTTACCGGGCAAGTTAGTGAAGTTTTAGTTTTCTCATCTATAAAATGGAATTAGTAGCAGCATTTATCTCAGGGTTGTTATGAGGTTTAAATAAAATTATATTGACCAAGCACTTAGCATAATGCTTGGCATATAGCATGGATTCAGTAAATGTTAAATATGATTATTACTTAAAATTTTAAGTATTTTTAGCAAGTGTTATAGTCCATGAGCATTATTTAGTACCCTATTTTACTAACAGGAAGGCAGTAGAAAGGATTCCTGCCTTTGGTGAGTTAGTTGGTGATATATATATATATAATATAAATTAAAATATAGAGAGAGGAGACAAAGAGCAATTTGTAAATTAATTTCAAAATTATTTAATTCAGATCAAATACAGATATGTGACATAGAACAAAAAAGTAGCTATAATAAGGTAGAGTTAGCTAAACAAAAGCAGAAACCTTTTGCCTTATGTATTAGGGAGATATAAGCTATTGTATTTAGATAAGTATTTCTTAAACTAAGAGTTAGAATCCCTAAAATAGGAAGGATAGGACACGATTTTGTACTTGAAATTTTCAAAAAAATACAGAACTCAGAACTACTGAGTTCTAAGCAATTACTTGTGAGTGGTAGTGGTAGTAATAAACCAGAATGAGCCATACTCTGTCTCCTTAGGCTTTCCCTTAGCTTTCTCCTACATCATTTTTTGGTTGTTTTTTTAAAGAAATTCATGTATATGGAAGAGTCTTCATAATGCTTTTTTTTTAAATGAAGGGACAATATAGTTTTTTGGGCAAACCATTAGTTCTGTCTAAATGCCAACAGACTGATATTTTAGGTTGTCTATGGGAAGCATGTTATCTCTTTAGATAATGTCTAAAATATTGTAAGTATTCTTATTAATATTAACTAAACATATTATGGTTATTTTCAGAGAGCGTAATACAGGATGGGATGTTTCAGTAATATACCTGCTTCTTAATATAAAATACATTGAATGAAAGAGGTCATTTTAAATGGATAATTATGACCAATATTTTATTTCCTTCCTCAGTTAGTTTCAGAATATAACTATTACTTTGTGCAACTATGTAAAACCTTTATTTTGCCATCATCTTGACAATAAAATCTATATTCATAGTATACAGCTTAGTTCTGAAAATAGTTTAGTCACTAATAATAATTTAATAGCTACTATTTATTGCTTACTATGTGCCAGGCACACAGTTCTAAGTATTTAATGCGTGTTAACTCATTAATCCTTACAGCACCCTATGTAAGTGTTGTTATCTCCATTTCACAGATGAGGATGCTAACAGAACAGAGAGATTAGGGTCACATAGCTAGAAGTGGCAGAATTGGGACTCAGATCCAAGCAGTCTGTCTCTAGAGGCTGACCACTTAACCAATGTGCTATGTTGCCTCTTAGTTTTACGAGGTTCTCAAACTGAACCAAAAAAATTAAAGCAACAAGGTAGTATATCCTACCTATATCCTTTTCATTATGAAGAAGGACGTGAAGATGGTAGAAAAGGTGGAACTTGATATTCAGTGATACATGACAGAAGAATTTACATGTGTCTAGTGCCAAATGAGCATTATCATCTCCATTTTACGTATCAGAAAACTTAAATTCAAAGAGCTTGTCATTTATCCGAAACAGCAAAGCTATTAAAACAAAAAGCTTAAATTTGATCAGAACTATAAGAAACCACTGAAAAGTTGGGTATGTATTTCTATCTCTGAAAGCTTGGGTAAAGAATAGCAAGATGAGAATCAGAATTGTGGTAAAGAGGTTACAGAAAGGAAACCAATAAAACTATGTTTATTATTTTTGTAGCTTAAGTAACGTTCCTTAAGAAACAATTTAGGGAAAATGTGAGGAAAAATGGCATATTTGGCATAAATGAGAGATATTAGCATAAATTTGGCATACATAAGCTAAAAGATGGATTCATATATTTAATGAACCGTATTTTTTAAAGTGGTGAAAGTTATAATAATGCCTCAATAAAATTTGAATTAAAATGAATGGTTCAAAGTATTGCCTTCCCTGAAATAATTGTGTTTCACAATTTTAAATATCATGACTCTGCTCTCTCATTGAAGTTTTATTAAGATAATATAATCTTACTTTTTTTTTTCCCTTAGACCGGAAACTAATTTCTTCTGACTATTACATCTGGAATTCTAAAGCTCCTGCTCCAGTAACATATGGATCATTAGTACTGTAATTGTCTCATGTTAAATGGTACAAATCTAACATAAATTAAGTCATAGTCATTTATTTTTAATGTGTATGCATATAACCTATGAGTGAAAAGCATTGATTTAATTATAAAATGCTCTTGTTCAGTGTTTTTAGCCTGACTTAGTTTGAAAGAACATTTTAAAGATTAATGTACCCAATTGTGTTACCCTTTGATTATACTCAAGTATGATTCAGAGCATAAAATGTAGTGACTTACTTTCAGCTTACTTTAGGCTAGTCCTGGGTTACCCTGCCACACGTGTTTCTTCCTGCCCCTGTGGCAGACGTGGCTAATCAGTCACAGCCCTCTTTCTCCACTGAGCCTTCCTGGATATGAGCTCAGGCTCCTTCTCAGCCAAGAGCTGCAGGCAGCCCCTCCTAATGGATTATAGATGATGTGCAAGATAAAAAAAACTATTTGCTCTTCCAACCTAAGTACTCGTACAATGTGTTGTTCCAGAATGCCAAAGACCACATTAGAAAATGTAAACCTCTTGAGAAAACAGCCAGTGGAAACAAAGGAAAATTGTTTAAGTAGGAACCTGTTTTTAATCAGAACTATCCAGCTGACTAATAAAGAATCTGCATAATTCTGTTTATGGTGTTTATCTCTGTTTTAGAGTTCCTTTTCAGGCAAGCTTATTAATCTGCCACAGTAACATTTTGTTTAGGATATCAGTAAGCATTTTAAGAGGGCTGGGATACCTTCAGAAGATGAGCATAGTGTTTTGTGACTACTGAATATCTGCAGCCAAGTTTTAAAGATAAATTTAGATATAATGTTGGTTTTCCCTGTTTTATTATATCATAATTCATGAATGAATGAGTTCAGATAAAAATTCAAAAGCTGTTTGATGGATAGAGAGTATCATTTAATCTTATTTAACTCTCATGTAGCACATTTTCTTTAAATTTGTCACCATTGCTTCCTTACTGGCATCCTCTGGGTTTCTTCAGGAACCATCCAGTCATACTCTTTACTCTCCATTTGTCTTTACAATTATATGTCACATTCTGTTTTCAAAGTAATTCACTGTCAAGTTGGACTTTAAATGACCATTCAAGAAAAGATGAAATCTCAAGATCCCCAAAACTTAATCCATGTCAGGTTTCATTTTACAGAACAGAATTAGAAGAGTTACAAAAAATATGCATTACAGATTAATATTCAATTAAATTATATCTTGGTTTCTATTTTTTTAAATGAGTCCCTTAAGGAAAAGCTTAGAAAAAGCTGCTAACTCCTTGAAAGAGAGCTATGATAGTTTGAAAGGAGAGTGCATATAAATTTAGGATTTAAAATACGATTTTTTTAATTAAGGTCAATCCTACTCATTATAAACTCATTTTCTGCAAGGCATTATCATGGCATAATGGTCTATGTTCAAAATTATCCCAAGTAACAAAGAAAATGGAATAACTTTTGGACCAAGACTTTAACTTGTTATTTCTAGCTTAATCATGTGTAATCAGTAGTAAAAACTTTCGTTTTGAAAGAGGAAAATCATTCCTCTTAAGTTTTTTGATCTCTGTTAAACTCAAGGAAAGCTTAACATTTCACTTATGTTCATATTAATGGAGTCATTTGGACATCTTGATTGTATAAATGTTCAGTAAAGTGCACTAAGGTAGTTATGGGGCATTTATCTAGTGAGTACGTTCAGTATAATAATCCCCTAGGTAAAACTTTCTTATAAGCAATCAGAAAGACCAGTGAATTTTTGATCCGACATTTCTAGAAACCTGAGGAAAATCTAAGGAGTGCTGGAAAAGTGTAGGGGGCGATGGGGAACCTGATGCCATCTGTTGCCATTCCGCTCTAACATAACGCTGCAGAACTAAAACCAACTCGTGTTTTCATCCTGTTGAGATCAGCTGGGCACACTGTGATGCTTTTGATTTTGTCTAGAAACCTGTCACTTCAGGATAATTTCTGAAGACAAAGTCTGTTTCCCGTTTGGTAGGTGACCTGTTTAATGTTTTCTCTGTGTCTGGGAACTCCTTAGTGTAATTAGCGACCTTTGAACTCCACAACTAATCCTGAGCTATTTTGTATTCCTTACTCATCTTTAAGGCTGGACCTTTCTTTTCTTCAGAGTCTGCTGCCACAATTAAAGAAGAAACAGCTGCATTTCAAAGGGATTCCGATTCCAGAAGCTTAATCGTGATTGACATGTTCTTATTCTAAGCTATAAGACACTCTAAGAGTCCTTTCTTGGGTTAAAACTTCAATCATTTTCTAAAAAATTATCTCACTATGGATTTTATTCATTTTCTTTGATAACTATTCTTTGCATTTTTTAACTTGAAAGATGCTTTGCATTTGCACTGAATATGAGCACCTACTTCCAGTTAAAGATTTGGATGGTGTCAGACCTACTCTAGATGCAAAATTGCTAAATTCCCTTTTCGTGCCAAAATATGATTATGAAATCTGATGTCTATCATATGGGTAATTATTCTTCAGTAGACCCAAAATGTACAAAAATGTTAAATTTCTGAAAGTGTACCCAGAAAAGATACTTCATGATTTTGGTAAAACTTTTCTTCATTTTTTTACTAAACAGTATTTTTAAAACTTTTTAAAGTCAGCAGTACCCTTACTGTGTGAGACAGTCCCCTTACAGTGGTGGGCATTTTTCACCTTTTACTTTTAAAATAATTAATTCAGATGTTGGGTTCAAAGTAAATAGACTTGTCAGGAGTTCTTAAATTACTTGTTTTTTTTTTAATAATTTTAATTAAACATTAGTCTCGTAAAATTTAATATTTTACACCAACTCAGTATTTCTAGTGAGTTAAAATTTTCATTTTATACCTTGTATGGTTTAAGATATTTCCAAGCACAATTTCATACATAGAACAACTGTTAAGATTTTTCTCCTGGTTTTTATGATAGTATTTCAGGTTCCGTTATAGACACTCCTGGACTCCTGCACCACGCCTGGGAGGTAGGTTGGTCCAGTTATCCAGAGTCTGCAGGGACTGCTGCCACAGCAGAATGGTTGTTTCTAAGACAAAGGTCAGAAAAGGGATGTTAATAAACAGTCCTCAGGTTTAAGGGACTTTTTTAGGATTACATCTTAAATTCCAACAAATCAGATTTAGGAGTTACTGAAAGTGAAATTGATCCATCCCTCATCCAAACTTTGCAATACTTTCCTGTTCTGACATCATTTAGATAGTTAGCTGTATTATCAGATTAGAAACCATTGTACCAGGCTGCTGAAAGGAAAAGGAGGCAAAAAGCTAAACATGGGATGAATTCTGAACCTTTTAACCTGGCTGAAGTACGTTGGTCCCTGTTATGCAAATACCTTCAATCCTCTGCTAAGTTCAGTGGAAATAATTTTCTTGAATGACAGGTTTATTCAGCAAGGATTCAGTTGGTGATTAATCCCCCTTTGATCTAGGGTATTTCACTTAACTACCAGTTACCTCGTTCTGACAAAGTGCAACTGAGATTAGGGAGATCACTAGAACACTACCAGGGTGTGCGTTTATTCTCTATAACCTTTTAAAGCAAGGGCCAAGAATGCAATTTATTTTCAGTATTTGAAGATGTAAAAGTCCTGTCTGCTAAGTTAGAAAGTCAATTGAATACCAAATGAAGTTTATTTCTTACGTAATAGAGCAAACATTTCTTTTTACTTTGCCTAACAAAGATTTCAGGAAACATAGGCTTTGAAGAAAGAAGAAATAAAGACTACATTCTAAGTATATCTTCTAGTTTTGTTTCATGTACTAGCGTGTATACTCATTGGCCCTGAGATAACCCAAAAATTTAACTGGTGGCTACAATTTAGGCTGAGAAAATGCTTCTACTTTATTAAACTGCACAGTTTTTCCCTACCCTCCCCCATTAAAAAATGTCATGGTATGTGGTAAATCCAATTGAGAAAAACATGTCGTAATACACAATTATTCATCTTAAGAGTTCTGATTTCAAAGCTTCATTTAACTTTGTCCTTTCTTGAGGAAAAAGAGCTCATCATGTTCCCATCATGAATCGGTAAGTGATGCCATTACCAAAATACTTCAAGGTAATTATTTTAAATTACCAAAATAACCATTTTCCACAGTCCTGTTTGCTACTTTCTTTGCCTTTTTCTCATGTAACTGGTACTCTTCTTCTGTAACTTTAAACTTTGAAATATTCTATGAAATTCTGCACAATATTTGAATAACAAAATTGTAAAATGTGTTTCATGCTAGATTTCTCAAAGAATTCACTTTTAAAAACTATTATCAGTATCAATGTCAGTATTTATCTTGCATGATATGAATTTGGGGATTTATTTCTCAGTTAGATTTCAAGATGCTTAAAAAAACTGATTTGTAACAAAATCACTTGTTTTTATTAAATTATTTTAATGATTAGTTTCATCATAAAGCATTTTTTAAAGTGCTTTATAATTATTCATTCTAGTATCAGTTTGTAATGTACTTGGATAATTTTCTTATACTTTCTTTGGCTCAAACTTCTTGTGATCCAGTTTCTAAATTGAAATAGTGATTCAAAAAAGTGTGTATCTTACTTATGTTGGTGCCAAATGAACATCTTTAGTTTCAATTTAGTAAGCAAACTGTTTATGAATATCTTTTGATAGCAAGTTACTTAACCATGGCAAAATTGAGGACCAGAAAAAAACATAAGATGGAAGACAGGCTCCCCTGGCTATATTGCTAAGAAACTAGTATTTTTAATAATTATGCAATAAATTTTTAGTGAATACAGTGTTGTGATATATTTAGAAATACACCATCAGAGAAAGAATATATTTGTGTATAACATAGATGTTTGTATGTGTTTGTATAATATATGTTAGTGTGTCCAACTTGGTAGATTTCCCTATGAAATATTTCATTATCGTGTCAGAGGAAGAATATTTAAAGTCAAATATTCAGATATCTTCCCTCCAAACAAAACGTTAGTCAGTAGTAATGAAGAGGTGCATAAAATGAATATTGCCAAAGAAATCTTGAGATTACTCTTACAAAATGGTTAAAAGTCTTATGAGCTGGAATCTTTTCAACTAGCCTCTAATTTTTTAACCAGCTGTTTTATGGATATGATAACATTATCATCCATATATCCATATATATGTATGGCCTGGAGGAGTGCAATGCCTTATCTGTATTACTAGTTTATTGCCTTATAAACAGGTTACTCTGAAGTCCAGGTTGATTTTTCTCAGGCCCTGGCTAATTTGTTTAATTGATGGCAGTGTGGTGTTACAGTGTTAATATATGATGCACAGCATTTACAGATTGACAGATGCCAATCTGCCTGGTGGGATGGAAACCACCTGCTGAATTGTTTTTTCCAGTAGGTCATGTAAAAATGTATGTATCTTAATATTCCATTAAACATTTAAAATCAAACTATGTGTTTCCTTTAAATGTCTTCTTTTTACATGATAGTTTCTGTGGGAAAAAATGATTGTTTAGTTAACACACTACTAGTAAATAAAAACGAAAAATTGTCATTATTCCTCTTAATTTTTACTTTTTCTTTCAAGGGACTTGAGTGCCCTCTGCAGGTTATAAAGAGATTACTAATAACTATATTTATTTTTAAACCCTGTGATTTTTCCCTTTTACAAGCATAGCCTGGTAAGTGTGATCCATTTTATTTATATTATTAACTTTGTTAATTTGCCAGAGACTGAAGCCAGAGTTTCTTTTCTTTGCCAGTTTTATAGTTGTGTTTAGTGTGAAAAATGTAATGCCATTGAATTTTCTAGATTCCTTA